ATGGAGTTTGGGGAGGATAGAATATATGCAGACTTTATACCTATCTTATGCAGGGTAGAGAAGCTATTTTCAATAGACATTCGGCTCAAAAAATTATTTTTAAAACAGATTTTGAAAATACAAGAGTAAAGACGCTATGATGAAAATAATGAAGAAAAAAAGTATTGGTAGTAAAAGTAGTAAGATAATCAAAGCAAAAAAAAAATAGTAGTAATAAAATTGAAGGTTAATAATGATAATAATAATAATAATAATAATTATTATTATAATAATAATAATAATAATAATAATAATAATAATAATAATAATAATAATAATAAGGAGAAGAGGGAGCAGATAAGGTGCTCTAAACTAGAATCACGTCTTCTCATAGAAAAAGAGAAGTCACTCGACTACCTACTAACCTTCTATCTTAATACTCGACCTTCATGCTCTCTTATATAGTGTTATATCCTTAGTGAGCTAAAGATGTGTCATATCCTGTCTAATTACCTCTCCACATTCCTCTTCGATGTACCTCAATCTCATGTACCTCCTCACTAGGGCATCTGTGCTCCCCCTCTTCATATGTCCGAATCACCTTAGCCTCGCTTCCTTTATCTTGTCCACCACAGAGGCCGCTCCTACCTTTTTTCGTATATCTTCGTTTCAAATCTTATCTCTATTAGTATGCTCACACATCTATATAAGCATCTCCATTTATACTACTTTTATTTTCTAAACGTGTGAGTTCTTGAATGACCAATACTCTGTCCTATACAATATATATAGTTGGTTTAATAACCATTCAATAGAACTTACCTTTAAGTCTTGGTGGTACCTTCTTATCACATAGGATACCAAATGCGTGCATCTATTGCATCCACCCGCTCAAATACGATGTGCAACATCATCATCAATTTCTCTATTTACTTGAATTGTTGACCCAAGATACTTAAGGTTTCCTCTCTTGGGGATGACTTGTATATATATCTTCACTTCCACATTCACCTCATGTATTGTGTCATTAAATTCACACTCCAAGTACTTTATTTTTGTCCTGCTCAACCTGAAATCTTTAGACTCTAGTGTCTATCTTCAAACATCTAGTCTACCGTTAACTCAATCATGTGTCTCGTCAATCAATCCTATGTCATCTACAGATAACATACATCATTGTACCTCCCCTTGAATATGTCTTATCAATTCATCCATTATCAAGACAAATAAAAACGAGCTAAGAGTTGATCCCTGGTGCAATTCCATCATGACTGAAAAGTTTTCAAGTCTACTTCTACAGTTTTTATTCGGGTCTTGACTCCATCATACATGTACTTAATCGCTCTAATGTATGACATATGTACCCCTATCGACTCCAAGCATCTCCATAAAATCTCTCTTGGAACTTTTTCGTATACCTTTTCTAGATCAATGAATACTATATTGTAAGTTTTTTTCCTATGCTTATATTACTCCAACAATCTCCTTAAAAGATGAATGACTTCCGTAGTTTATTTCTCCGTCATGAATCCAATTTGGTTCTCGAAAATAGACACATCCCTCCTCATCCTCATATCTACCATCCTCTCCCAGACTTTCATAGTGTGGCTTAGTAGTTTGATACCCCTATGATTATTGTAATTTTAAGTATCACCATTGTTCTTGTCATGCCCCCAAACTGGGATGGGACGTGATTGGTACTCAACCCTTACCACTCGTTGAGTGAACCATGTACTATTTTTTATCAAACTTCAAGTTCAATAGCTAAGAATCTAACGTGCTTAAATATTAATTCTAATCAAGTTGCAGTTCTTAAGCTGACTGATAAAAATAATAATAAAGGATAAATCCCAAACTATTTTAATACTGACCCACTAACAAGCCATGAGCATCTAGAATCTGAAAAAAATAAAATTAAAATGCATAGCCTATGAGGGCATCCCCAGAAATAAAATAAACGTAAAAAAAATATAAATAATAGTCTGAAAATGGTCCGCTACCGCTGGGGTGAATCAACGGAGTCTGTAAACTGAATCTAGAATATCTCCTCTAGCCACGTGCCACGTTACCTGCGTTCTCAATACATGCCACACGACGTAGCCGACCCAAATGGGTTAAGTACCACCAAAGGATACCTAGTAAGTCTCATAGGCTACCTCCTTAAAAGGCGGAGCGAGACCTTCTGGAAAATATAAGAAAGAAAAGGGATATATGGAAAATCATATAAATTATATAAAAGTTTACAACCAAGTAATAAGCTGGAAACTGAAACTGTAATTGTAAGCTGAAACTGAAACTTAACGTAGAAATTGAGCCCATAACTGATATCTGAAATAGAANTTATAGCACTCACGCTGGGGGAGGTTGGCCACTTCTCCCTAGTGAATGTGAATATCACAAATAAATGCACATAATAATTAGTAATATACATAAGTATGTATTCATGTCACATATAATGTCGTACTGAATAAGAATAAGTGAACTGAGTATTGGATCACGAGAAGACATGACCTAGCTTTATCTAACATATGGAGCACAAGAGTTATAATGGAATTTCCTACTAGGAAGTAAACCTCAACTCACCTCAAGTCTTAACTTCAATTCGTCCCTTCAAACTTCCCGTGAGTTCAACAATTCACGATCTATAAATATTTTGGCTAGGATCATTAGGATATACTCAACAAGTTTAATTCATCACCAATTGAACTAGTTTCTAAATCATGGATTACTCAATATAATCGACACTTAATGTGGAAAAAAAAATGTATTTCTCAATCAAGCTTGCTGCTACAATATCCTTGACCACTTGGTATATGGAAAGGAAGAAACATACTTTAGTATCAAAAATATTAAATGTCCATACTTAAATAACACTATCCAAAACCTATGACTCTAATAATAATCCAAAATATTATAGCAACGTTCAAATCTGATCCTCACTTTACCCTTAAAGCTTTGTCCATTACTAGATGAAAATAATTTCTCTATTATTTTAATATTTCTAATCATGTTCCCAATCTTAAAAAAACTTGGCAGCAACTCAAATGGATTTAGAATTTATCAAATTGCTTTCAAATTACTTCTTGTCATCAATTCTAAAGAATTTGATATCCACATCAATCCTAATGTAATCCAAGGCATACTACATGAATAAAATTATATATCTACATACCTGGTTGTTGGTTGAATTGCACAAATTTTTTTTAAGCTTTCTAGTTCTCTGCTCACACCAATTATGTATCCTCAAACTCCTCAAACAATAATGACCCAAGCAGCAAATCAAACAATTATTCTTCCGCAACTTCTTTTTCTTAATTTGATTCCAGAGCTAAAGAGGTTTTAAAACAACTTTCCCTTAAGTCATTCTAAGGTTCTTCAAAGTAGGGAAACACTAAGAAGTGGGGCTGACCCACTTATTTTCTCCTTTATCTAAAGTATTTTTTTTCCACGTAAGTCATGCTAAGACTTTGTAAAGTAAGAACACTAAGAAGTGGGGTTGACCCACTTATTTTTTCCTTTATCTAAAGTATTTTTTTCTTACGTAAGTCATGCTAAGACATTGTAAAGTAAGAACACTAAGAATGGGGTTAGCCACCATATTTCCTCATTTAATCAAAAGTTTGGTTATTCTATCCATAAAATCTATTTCCATACTTAAGGTTAAATTAGTCCAAAAAAATAAATGATGGGATATTACAGTTCTACAAAGGGATCATTGTACTCCACCTTCATTCTTTGAGTAGTTTAGTCGTACTAATAATTACCTTAAATTACCTAGTTAGTCACTCCATTCTTACTTTGCATGTGCTCTTCCAAAAATCCACAGGAATTTTGTTAGTCGGATTGCTCTTTCCTTTCTCATCTTGCAAATTGGCCCCTTAACCTCCTTAAACTTCATGCACCTACGATATCTAAAATTTTGACGGCTCTCGAAGTATTCTAAATCACCCAACACAATATTCATATCTCCTTTTGCTTTTATGAATTTATGAAAGTATGTCTACCATCTTCGTTTAATATATCTCTTCCACTAATACTTTGCCATCCTCATATTTATTGCATCTCACTTGATGTAGGTGGTGAGCCTCTTCTCTCAAAAGAGATCAAGAAGAAGTAGGATCAATATTAAGGCGGGGTGTCATAGACTCATAGATGTGCACTTATTAACGTAAGTTCAAGAAAAGAGGTGAAGAAGTCCAGCATTGGGAATCTAACAACAATAAAGGTGATGCCAAGCAATATAGTATTTCTTTCGTCTCAAAATACTTATCGATTACTTTTTTTAGAGTTAATTGAACTAATTTTTAAAATTAAATTGGATTAGATTAATTTAATATTTTTAAATTAAAATTTGAATAATCGAAAACTATACGAGTAAGTATTATAATTTGCAATTCATATCAATATGGTGAGAAATACATGTTAAAATATTGGTTAAAGTTTATATAATTTGAATCTCGAATACAAGTAATTTGGAACAAATATTGTAGTATAATAGAATTTGACTATTATCAGTTCAAACAAAAATACTACTACTTCGCATTGTGAAAAATTAAATTGTTTATGCTGTTAAGGATATAAATTATTTTCGCTCAGTTTTTCAAGTTAACTTTTCTTGTTAAAATCCCATTAATAGATTAAGCATTACTCACTTATTCCTCAGAATATTCAATTACACCGCATAAGGTGTTTCAGATGGCCAAAAGGTTGACCAACTGTTAGTAATGGTACAGTTTGTTTTGGTAGAAAGGTGAGTAGCGCCAGAAATTGGAACAGTTGAGAGACTTCCATTTTCATTTTCCTTTTCTTTTTATATCCTTTCATTTGGATCATGAACAGTTGGGTTTTATTTAACAATTTTAATTAATAATAACAAAAGATAAAAACCACTTGTTTAAAAAAAAAAAAAAAAAGAGAAAGAGAAGCGGAGGGTAAAACTGAAAAGTCAGTGAACTGTGAAAGAGTCTAAAATAAGCTCAAAACTTGACTATAAAACTTCCCCCTTTCCCTCTCTTAGTTACTCACTCAACACACACAATACATATTCTCTTTCCTCCGCACAATGCCGCAATACTTCTCTTTCCCTCTTCTATCTTAACATAGAAAAAAAGATAGAGGAATATTTCTTTGGCTGAAACTAGAAAATAGAAAAGGAGAAAGCAGAGTTCTCTGTTTTGAGCTAAAGAAAGAAGTGGAGAAATGGCAGAGGTTTCTACAAATGCTTTATTACCAGACACATTTCAGGGGACAGCAGCAGATATAGCAGGGCAAATTGGGTTAATGTGGGAATTAATTAAAGCCCCATTGATAGTTCCATTATTGAGAGTTGCTATATACATATGTTTAGCTATGGAACTTATGCTTTTCATTGAAAGGCTTTATATGGGTATAGTTATTATTCTTGTAAAACTGTTCTTGAAAAAACCAGATAAAAGGTACAAATGGGAAGCAATGCGTGAAGATTTGGAGATTGGGAATGCAGGTTTTCCTATGGTACTTGTTCAAATCCCCATGTTCAATGAAAAAGAGGTGGTTATTTCTCCTTCTCTTTCTTTATCATTTGTGTATTTTTGACTTGCAAAAGCAGAGTTCTTTTTTCTAAATTTTTATGATGTTTGAGACAGGTTTACAAGGTTTCTATAGGAGCTGCATGTAACCTATCATGGCCATCTGATAGACTTGTGATTCAAGTTCTTGATGATTCTACTGACCCTCTCATTAAGGTATAGAAAAAAGTTCTTTGGAAATTTGAATTTTAATGCTATTTCATTTTTACTTTGATTAAGAATGCGCCAGCTTTTATTACACATTTTCACCCACCAAAACCGACATTTTCCCTTCAGCTTTTTTATCTCATAAGTAAAATAATGAAGGAGTATTTATTAATGTTGAAGGATTTGGTTGAGAAAGAATGCCTAAGGTGGGCAAGCAAAGGCATTAACATTAGATACCAAATCAGAGAGAGCAGAGGAGGCTACAAAGCTGGAGCTCTTAAAGAAGGATTAAAGCATGATTACGTCAAAGATTGCGAGTACGTTGTCATTTTTGACGCTGATTTTCGGCCTGAACCGGATTTTCTCCGGCGAGCTATCCCTTTCCTTGTACATAACTCAGAAATTGCACTTGTTCAAGGTCGTTGGCGTTTTGGTAAGCCTCGAATTTTAACTATGATTAAGCTAATCATTTATCAATTACTGTATATATCAAAGTGTCGGTGCTCTTACTCCAGCTGTTATGTTAACTAGTTACTTTTACTGCACGTTAAACTTATGCATTTTAAAAGATTTTATGCACATATTCACTGGAAGAAGAAAAAAGGAAGTTTCTACTGATATTGCAATCTTTCGTCACCGTTGTGGAAACCTTTTCTTCTCTTTAGGGAAATAAACTTTAGGATTTTTCTAAAGATTGGTGCATTATTATTCAGTGGGTCCATGAAAAATCCGTCAGTCACGGGTGGTGGGACCAACCATTCTAGCTTCCCCATCCACCGAGTCAATTCCGACTTGCCACCGTGTACCTTGTGCTTAGACCATAACAATTCCACGTCAGCAACTACACTATTTTTTTCCCGTCCGCAACAAATACATTACGTATATCTCAAAAATAATACAGTACACACCATTAACCACTCTCCAATTCTTCTTGCATAGGCCCTTTATTCAATAAACTTTTTATTATATAAAAGGAAGAAGAAAAATAGGGTAGATGGTTACAAGTGAGGAATTGTAAATATGATGGAAATTCAAATAACAAAAAACTGAGCTACTCTAATTCCCCTTCTTGAATAGGTTCAATGCTGTAGATTGAGTTGTGCTGAGCGGCATTTCATAGTCTTGTTGAATAAAAAGGAAGCTTATTATATTTCGAGAGTATAATAGTTTAACCTTAGACTTGTGTATTGTGTGGTTGGTGTTATCATGCTTTTGGTAGTTTCTTAGTACAATAGTACCCAACAAAATATCGTATTGTAGCCTCAGTACGGTCTGATTTATTTATATAATAAGATTATTTTCATGCTTTATTGATTAGTCCAAATAAAGATTTCCAATTTAATTCTTCTAAACACAATAAATATCTAGGCAATTAAAAAAAAAATCTATTAAGACTTTGTCAGAGATTTGTTTATTCGGCAAAGGGCCAAATATACAACTCTACTTTCGAAAATGGTCTAAGAATACCACTCGTTATACTATTGGGTTATCTATATCCCTACAGTCATACTTTGGGTTCAAATATACCTCTCATTTAAACGGAGTGACACGTGTCATCGTCCTGTTGGTCAATTCTAAATATCTCCTAATTAATTAAAAAGACTCATTACTTATACCCGAAAAATATATTATTTTTTTGGTCAAAAATTGGAAAAACCTAAAATTTTTTTTTTTTTTTACTAAAAACTGAAAAAAACAAAAATATTATTTTTTCAGTTTTTATAAAAAAAAACTGCTTTAAAAAAATGAAAAATATTTTCTAAAACAATATTTTTGTAAAAACTGAAAAAAAGCTGAAAATTAATTTTCTAAAGTAATTTTTTTTTTGTAAAAACTGAAAAAAACTGAATTTTTTAATACTAAAAACTGAAAAAACGAAAATATTTTTTTTTCTAGTTTTTACAAAAAACCTGCTTTAAAAAAAGCTGAAATATATTTTCTCAAATAATATTTTTGTAAAAATTGAATAAAAAACTAAAAGCAATTTTCTAAAGCAATATTTTTGTAAAAACTGAAAAAATAAATATTTTCTTTTTTTTTCGATTTTTAGTTAAAAATATTTCAGTTTTTTCCAGTTTTTAATTGCTTTTCATTTTTTTTCAGTTTCTACAAAAATATTGTTTTAGAAAATATTTTTTGGTTTTTTTAAAGCAGTTTATTTTTTGGTAAAAACTGGAAAAAAAAAATATTTCGTTTTTTTCAGTTTTTTGTAAATTTGTTTTTAGTTTTTTCCAGTTTTTACAACAAAAAAAAAATTATTTTTCGGGTATGGGTAATGAGTCTTTTTAATTAATTAGGAGATATTTAGAATTAACCAACAAGACGATGACACGTGTCTCTCCGTATAAATGAGGGGTATATTTGAAACCAAAGTATGACCGTAGGGATATAGATAACCCAATAGTATAACGAGGACTATTCTTAGACCATTTTCGAAAGTAGAGGGGTATATTTGGCCCTTTGCCGTTGTTTATTTGGAGCGACAGCAAACAGTGGGTAATGACGTTATTATCCTGTTTGTTTGTTGAGAGCGAGCCGCAGTTACCGGCGAGAAACTGCTACATATCCGGGGCAGGTTTGTCATTTTGTCAACTGTGAGGTCAATGGAGGGAGTAGATTCGTCATTTAAAGTGTCTTTACATTCTATTATGTTGTGGACTTCTTTTCTTCACTCTCTACAGTTCTCGCCGACACTTACATTCGAAAAACATGCGTGATGTATAAGTAAATTAATGAGACAACATAAATTAAAATCGAAAATGAAAGTGATTTTTCCTGGATGTCTGATGACGTGGATAACTTTCATTTTGAGTCGCGTGATGTCAGAATGCCCCTTTGCGTTGAAGTTTTATTCACTAATTATAATTAAGTGAAAGGTTGGTATATTTGAAAAAGAAATTACGTAACTTGTAATTTAACAAAATTCAAGCAGAAAACTTAATTTTTTAATAATTAATTACCATGAAACTAACTGAGCTAATCCTTTGTATATTATACAGTGAATTCAAATGAATGCTTGTTGACGAGAATGCAAGAGATGTCACTAGATTACCATTTCACAGTGGAGCAAGAAGTGGGTTCATCTACTCATGCATTCTTTGGGTTCAACGGTAAGGGAGATATTAGTACTTAATTAGGTCGATCTGTAATGCAGTTGTTTATGTAACAAAAAATGTAATTATTAATGTTTACAGGAACTGGAGGGGTATGGAGAATAGCAGCGATTAATGAAGCTGGTGGATGGAAAGACAGAACAACTGTGGAGGATATGGATCTTGCAGTTAGAGCTAGCCTCAAAGGCTGGAAGTTTCTTTATCTTGGTGATCTCCAGGTGTTTGATAAATATCCTCATAGAACCATTCTGTTTGCCTAATTTTACTTCAAGTTTACTAAACGGGATTTTCTTCCAAATGTAGGTGAAAAGTGAACTTCCAAGTACATTCAAAGCATTCCGTTTTCAGCAGCATCGTTGGTCTTGTGGCCCCGCCAATTTGTTCAGAAAAATGGTGATGGAGATTGTTAGGAACAAGGTATGCAATGTAGTGATGTAATTCAATCTAGGTGAAAATGAATGCTAAAGAAGTTGAATTGTTCTGTGTTGTGTTATGTTTGCAGAGAGTGAATATTTGGAAGAAGTTTTATGTGATCTACAGCTTCTTCTTCGTCCGAAAGATCATAGCTCATATGGTCACTTTTTTCTTCTTCTGTGTTGTTCTTCCATTAAGTCTTTTAGTTCCTGAAGTTGAAATCCCTGTATGGGCTGCCATCTACATCCCCTGCATCATCACAATTCTCAACTCTGTTGGAACTCCAAGGTCAATTCATCTACTTTTCTACTGGATTCTCTTTGAGAACGTCATGGCTTTCCACCGAACCAAGGCTACATTTATTGGCTTGCTCGAAGCAAAGAGGGCTAACGAATGGGTTGTCACAGAAAAACTAGGTGATGCTCTCAAAAACAAAGATAAAACCAAACCAACCAAGAAACCTCGAGGATCTCTATTCGGAGATAGGTGAGAAAACTTCCTTCTTGAATGAAGCTTTATTTTCATATTCTTGATAGGATAACACATTAGAATGCACCAGTTTGTTAACCATAGGCTGGCCTAATTTGTACAGGATTCTTCCACAAGAATTGGGATTTGCACTTTTCCTTTTCTTCTGTGGATGCTATGATGTTCTTTATGGGAAAAGCCAGTACTTCCTTTACATTTTCCTCCAAGTTGTTACCTTTACAATTGCTGGATTTGGCTACATTGGCACCATAGTCCCCTCATAATTTAATTGCACAAACAAGAATTTTTCTTGGTGTATATATTGCCTCTTCTACAAAGAAAATATAAGTACGAGTCCTGCAACCATTTTCAGAGGCATAACAACTCGAACCTCTAGAGAAATATTTTCTTAGAGATGCAATGCTGATAAAAGGGATGAAAAGCAAAGAGATGTTTGTATTAGCACAGAACACAGAAGAAGCAGACAAAGCAAATGCATTAGTTGAATAGATAGATTGTATTTTTCTTCTATTGAAGTGTTTTAGTTGTGTGACATTGTAATTCTTTAGCTTGCAAGTCATTTTCTTTCTTTTTACTTTGTTTCCTTGTTCCCTTGGTGTTTTAATGGTTTTCAAGGAGACATAAGCTGAGGATATGGCAAAAAGCTTTTGTCATTCTAGTTCCAATTCTTTTTCTTTTGATGATCGTTGTATTATAAAGAGTACACCATCAATATACAGGTAATAGAAGCAAGTGATTTTAAATAGCTTCAGTAATTTTCTGTTGCCTCTACCTGAAAGTTTTCCTATAGAATTGAATTCTTCTGCAGCAGTTTTATCAAGAACCAAACAGCTCTATTTCATGAGATGAGTAAGCCATGTTGAACTTCCACTTGAGCAAATTGGCAGATTTTTCCCTTAACCTTCAAATGAAGATTGTGAATCTGCTTCACAAGGGCTTGCAGTCTCAGCTCTTTAGCCAGATACATCCACATTGACAATTATTTGGTAGTTTCACGGTGGCAAAATGGTTAAAAGAATATAGTTATCCGTACATATTATCTATTAAAAACGAGTTGGATAATAAACTTTTTAAAATCGTGTCGAATATGGATAAGAACCATATTATCCACTTAGAAAATGGTTAATCAAATTGATAACCAATGGATAACTAATGTGTTTAACTTTTACAGTTGTAAAGCCTCAAATTGGGGGTTCCTTAAGTTTGAGATACTAGGAATTCTACCATAAGTGATCATATTCAAGAAGCCATGGATAATATGGATGTCCATATTATCCGTATCCATCGGATAACTCGTTTTTTATCCGTCTCAAATACGGGCCGGGTCGGATAATTTATCCGTTTTTAAAAGGATTTTTACCTTCATATATACTATTTGACCGAGGACATGACCCTTGATAGGAAGGTATGGAGGGCGAGGATTAGGGTAGTAGAGTGGGTAGTCTAGGGTGTTCATAACAGTAGTATTGACACGCAGTCTTGCTTTCTGTCGATAGTAGGTTTTTATGACTAACCGTTGCTTTCTTTCATTGTTGATCACCTTACTGTCTTGTTGTTTTTATTCTGCTTTTATATGATTTTTTTGGCACTGTCCCTTCTTGTCTAAATTTTCATTAATGTGGTGCTTATACTTTCCTAAGCCGAGGGTCTATTGGAAATAGCCTCTCTATCCTCACAAGGTAGGGGTAAGGTCTGCGTATACACTACCCTCCCCAGACCTCACAGTGTGGGATAATACCGAGTTTGTTGTTGTTGTTGGTCATATACAGTTTACTAATTATATACAAATAAGTTTTAAATGAGTATCCCTTTATATTAGGAATTGAATAAGGAATATCGGTTATTTCCTTATCCATTTATACTTGCCCTCTCTCTCTCTCTCTCTCTCTCTCTCTCTCTCTCTCTCTCTGTCTCACTACTCTACTTCTTTGTTTTTTCCCCAAATTTTTCTTCATTTGATGTTCTTTATTTTTTATGCTTTCTTGTTGTATAGAGTTTTAATGGAATTAATCAATGGATTTAAATCGTTTTAACTTAGCAATTTCCTTTCAGTGCACAATTGGTGTTCAAATTGAAATTGTCAATCAATAAATTTCGAAGGTGTTTGACTCTCCACCATTGACAAGTATTAAAATGTTTTGAAGCTTTGAAATTGAATTTGGATTTTCAAAAACTATTATTTGTTTGGAATTGGTATTGTTGCAAATAATTGAGAATATTGTTTGGAGTTTATATCTCAATTTTGAAGGTGTTTTGGTGAAGATTAGACTTGATTTTGGCTGAATAACACATGATATACAATATACTTACGAAATTGTAGTAAAATTATATTATAATTGTATGTAAATTATATATATATATATATATATATATATATACACATATTTTTTTATTATTATTTGAATGTTGTATGAAAGTTGAAAAATAGTTGTATAATGTATGAATCATTGTATAAAATTTGTATTTAAGTTATCAATACTATCTTTTTACA